CGGCCACCCTCCTCTGACTAAGAGAATTTCATCAAGAATGCACACTAATCAGATTATAGCCTCCCTTGCTGCATCCAGGGCCACAGCATCCATCCTGAGGGGCAGTTCTGGGCTCAGAGCCTTCTCTCCAGCCCCTAACCAAATGGTGCACAGCCCACTTTGACAGTGGTCAAAGCCAAGCCCTGAGACTCTGCAGAGAATTAGGCCACAGTGGAAAACTTTGCAGTGCCTTTGTGTGATGTGTGTCTTCACTGGGAGAGAACCCCCCTAAAACCCTCTAAGCAAACAAGACAGCGTTCCATCTGCCCCAGCACCACCAGCCCCAGCACGGTCCTTCCAAGGACAAGTGACAGTCTCAGCTTGTTTTGGGAAAACTCCCTTTCTCAGTTCTACATTCTGGTTCAGATTGATTTTTCTTTTTCAAGTGATTCACTTAGGCTGTTGCTTCTTTAGGACATTGACCATTGATTTCTTTTACTGCAAAGAGTATGTGATGATGAAGAAAATGGTTTTCATGTGCATGACATCCTACAGACTTTGAACCATAGGATTTTTTTGGCTGGGTTAACCGAAAGGGGTTCCTCACTTTCGGGTTTGAAGAAGTGGACAGGGGCATTGACAGTGACCATCAGCCTGGAGCGTGTGCTGCGTGCCCAGCAGGCAGGGTGTTTACACATGTGCTGCCGCCTCCACCCCTCACTGCGCCAGCAGGGGCAGGGGGAGCAGTGGATTTGAAGGGGTCAGTGGCCTTTGGTTAGCTGCAGAGCATGGTGTGAAGGCGCCCACATTTCAGGCTTCATCATGCTTGGGTCAGACAGAGGGGCCCCTCCTACCTGCACTGGGTAACCAAAGCCCGTGGAGAAGGGCAGGGTGCAGATGGAGAATGTTTGCGGTGCCTTCAGCGGGCAGCCTGAGCTGAAACCAAAGGCTTCCACCTTGTCCTCGCTCCAGAGCTACTTCCTATTCACCAATACCAAGTCGCCGCCAATGCTGCGTCTCTTCTGGTTTCTCAGTCTTGCAAACCTGGAAAGTCATTTTCTACTGGGATAAAGTGGTCTGGTCCAGGGCAGCTCTGTCTTACCTGACTCCTGGAACAACTGTACCTTTCTAAGGTCACTCCAGACTCGTCTGCCCTCTGCACAACTTATTTTTTATGAACTTCCTTAAAAAGAGACCCCACCAGCATAGCTTCAAACAACCTAGCAGGCAACACACAAGCAGATTTGCAGAAAACCTGAAACAAGGGGAACACTTGAAAGAGTAGGTGGGTATTGCAGAGTCACCAGAAATTTGGGGCTCTTTAATTCTTTTAATTTTTAATTACACAATAAATATTTAAATCGCCTTTAAAAATTTTTGTAGAATTTTCTGGATAACACCAAAGTTCATTAAGCATCACTTTTAATTTCTGTTCCCTCTTCTCTGCCTTCCAGAAGTAACTACTGTTCTGAGTCGGCTATGTCCTTCCAGATATTTATAAATATGTAAGTGCCCACAAGCAATTCATAGTAATGCTTTATGAATTACTAATAAATGGTAATAACATGCAGTATATAATACATAATTAGGATTTTTCCTTCAACAATATATTTTTGGATGTGTTTACATTAACCCATGGAGACCTGGTTCGTCTCTTCCCATTGAAATTTAGTTTTCCATCAAATAGACTTCATTTTATTTTTCTATTCTCCTTTGGCTGGACAACTAAATTATTTCTAGTCTTTTGCAATTTACTAACAATTCTGTGAGGAATATCTTTTGACGGGCCCTCTGGATCATGTGCATCAGTTTTTCTCGAGGATAAATAATGAAAAATGGAATTGCTGAATATGTTGCCTATTTTAAATTTTTTAACCGAAGAAATGTATGCACATAGCTTTAAATTCATCAAATTCTACAAAGGAAAGTATATAAAAATAGCAGTCTCCAATGACCTGCCACCCTTTCTTTCTGTTCAGAGGCACTTTCAACTTGTGCTGAACTAGGCATGGTGCCACACACCTGTAATCTCAACCCTCAGGAGGCTGAGGCAGGATGATTGCTGTGAGTTTGAGGCCAGCCTGGGCTATGTAGCAAAACCCTGTCTCAAAAAACCAAACAAAACACTTGTGCTGATATTTTTAGCACTTTTCCAAGTTCTAAGTAACACGCTCATGTCAGTGCTGTTTGACATTTTTATTCTGTTTCAAGCATGGCCTCTGGAGCTGCAAAATGCAGGTTGAGACTTGAGTTCTGTTTTCTCACCCTTATTTTCATCACACACGGACACACACGCACACTTTCTCATCCAACTAATCTGTATGAACCAATCATAACTTCAGCTTTCTGCAGATACAGGGTTTGGCTTCTTGTCACTATGCAGATTCTTTCCCCAAAGAGGTCTCATACATGATGATTACTGTCCCGTCTCTGGATGCTGGCCTGGCAGGTGACACTTTTCTGGATAAATCCTTGCAGTAGCGGGTCTGGGTGGCTGCTCTTGTTGCTTCTGGTCCAGCGAGCCGAGGCAGTCACCAGGGACAGGTGCAAAACAGCCGCGCCTCGAAGGGCAAGCGGGGTGGTCTGGGGCAAGTGGTGCACAGAAGCACTCGGCTCTGAGCAGGTCACTGAGTCCCTCCCAGGCCCTGAAGAGCTTGCTCCCTTCATCTGCTCTTGGCCTTTCACCAAGTTCGCTGTGCACCGACTCCCAGCCAGGACCCAGAGAGCTCAGACTGGGTCCTTGAAGCCCTGACGGGTGTCTGTCCACCGGCTCTGCGGCTGGGCTTGATTGTGCATGGCTGTGTGACACCCAAATCAGCAGCTACTCTTCTGTTTTTAGGGTCAAGAAGGGTTTATGTTGCTAACTATTTTTACGATAGAAGTAATACAGCCTCCGCGTAAAAACTTCGAACAAGAAAAGAAGGGTATGGAGCGAGGGTCCGAGGCTGACCTCTGTCCTCCTCCCCACCCCAGCCTCTGCTCTGCAGCCAGAGTACCGGGTTCCAATCCTAGCACTCACCAGCTGGTTCGGCCTTGAGCAAGTTCAACCTCTGTGTCCCTCAGTTTCCTCATCTATAATGGGAAAATAACAATGCTCCCCTCATATAGCTTTGTGGGGATTAACATAATACTTACAAAGTGGTACAGAAAAAGCACTTAATTCGATGTGACCCGGGAATGTGACTAACCTTGTGTTACGCACCCTTTTAGACTAATGGTTCTTAACCATGAGAGCACATTCCAGTGACCTGCAGAATCAACCTCTCTCCTCTCTCTCTCTCTCTCTCTCTCTCTCTCTCCCCCCCCCCCCCCCCCCCCCCCCAGCCCTCTCTGTACCAGGGATTTTATCCAGGGCCTTCGCACTTAACTACGTCCCCAGCCCCTTTGTTTTAATTGTTTGTGTTCAGCCATGGTCTCACTAAGTCACTGAGTCATCCAGACTGGGCTCAAAATTGCAATCTTCTTGCCTCGGCCTCCCAGAGTGCTGGGATTACAGATGTGTGCCACTACCCAGCTCACCTGAGGAACTATAAATTTCTTGGTACCTGGACCCCACCCTCAGCAATTCTGATTTTCTTGATCTGGAATGCAGCCTGGGCATCTGGGTTTTTTAATACTCACCAGAGCATCACAGTGTGCAGCTGGAGCTGAGAACCATTGTGTTACATATTTCTCCTGTGTATCAGTTAGGATAAGTGAGTGTATGTCCCAGTAACAAACATCCCCCAAACTCTGTGCATCTCAGTCAATCTCTCATTCATGGTCCGAGCCCATTGTTATCAGCAGCAGCCCTGATGCACATCACCTTCACTTTGGAACCCAGGCTGACAGGATGCTTTTATCCAGAGCACTGCAGTCCTGTGAAGTGGGGAGACAGACCCTGGGGACCATGCACTGGCTCAGGAAGCTCCGGAGCAGAGGTGAACGTCACTTCTGACAAACGTCACTGGCCAAAGCCCGACGCACGGTCACACCTGGCTCCACAGTGAGACTGTAGCGGAGGCCAGCAGACTTTTTATGTGAAGGGCCAGACAGCAAATATTTCAGGTTTTGTGTGTCATACAGTCTCTCTGTTGAAACGACTTCCCACTGCCTTCACAGTACAAAAATGACCTGTTAAAAAAAATGTACAAACGAAGCAGGGTGCAGCAGCCTGTGCCTGTAACCCCAGCTACTGGGGAGGCTGAGGCAGGATGGTAAGTTCAAAGCCAGCCTGGGCAACTTAGCAAGACTCTGTGTCAAAATTAAAAAATAAAAAGGGCTGGGGATGTGTAGCTCAGTGCTCCCTGGGTTTGTTCCCCAGTACTTAAAAAATAAATAAAGTAAAGTTAAAACCCTGCTTAACTCATGAGCCAGATAATAACAGTCAGCAGGCTAGATCTGAGCTGGGGGCCATAGTGTGCCATCCCCTGGTTTGTAGGTTATCATCCTCCCCCGAGGGAGAGGCACCTCGAGGAGGGACCCCAAGTATGGTTGAACAGCGATGTAGCTAGCCACGTTGGGCGCAGAGAAAGAGAGGGAGGACGAGGGGACGCGTTATCCCCCGTGCTTCACACTCACTGTGACTCGACTTCGTGGGTTCCTCAGGGCCCATCTCGATAAGCTCGTTTCACAGCGGCCCTGGCCCTGGCCCTGGCACGGCGTCATTTCTTAAGGCCTGGTGTTCCCCGGATGTATCGGAGTGGGTTTGTGTTCCTGGGTTTGTTTCATAAGTAATCCTCTGTTAGGTGAGGGCAGAGGATTTTAAACTATCAAGTGTAGAGGGGAGCCCTGCGAGCCCACACTCCCCAGAAGGTCCACCCTGAGTCCAGCATTTCTGTAAGTGTCGGTGCCGGAGTGAACATAGTTGCAATTCCGGGTGTTTGTGGGGAGATTTCAGTCACGAGGAAAACAAAGCTGTGGCCGTCATCCCCGGACCCCACGTGGGGCCGCGCTTTAGGTCAGAGCTGCGCAGAAAGCAGGGGGAGGCTGCGGTCCCGGAGGCCACAGCCGCGTGGCACTGTCCCATTCTCTTCCCGCAGGACACCACGACGTCCGTGCGCATCGGCCTGATGATGGAAGAGATGATCTTCAACCTGGCGGACACACACCTGTTCTTCAATGACCTGGAGGTTTGTAGTTGCTGTTTCCACTGAGTAGCTGCTTGTGAAGTCACCTTTATCTCCTTTGGGGGAAGCTACTCCTCTCTTTCTTTCTTTCCTCTCCCTTTTCTTTCTTTCTTTTTTTCATTTCCTTTTTTTTAGAGACTCAAAACTTTTGCTAGCAACCCCCGAGAAGGTACAGAACTGAGCAGCAGTGGTTCATTGGAAACACAGGTGGCCGGATTATCTCCCCAGCTTTCCTGGGCAGCTAATGGGCTTTTCTCTCTGCTCAAGTGATGGCCACTGACAGTTTTGCTAATCCAATAAAGGCTGTAAAGTTTCTTCCTCCTGAAATTTGCTATTTAATAAGTTTATTAAGGCAAATTAGTACAGATCCTCCTGGGTCAGCAGTAATTAGCAGTAGGCCAGGATGGAAGCTTTTAAAAACAATTTACATTCCCCCAGAAAGCATGTTCTACAAAGAGAGAGAAAGAGTGAGTAGAGAGGATGTGCTTGTTTAGTGTACCTGCTTCTGAGCCCCTAAGCAAGATGCAAAGGAGGTAGGGGAAAGAGGGAGAGCAGCTTTGGAAATCAGTGTAATTCATTTGTCTATATCCACTCTTTGTTGGAAAGATTTGGGAAGGATTTCAAATGAAAAACATATTTAAAGTAGAACTATTAAAGCAAAGGCAAAGAGATAAAAAGCTCTGTAGAGAATAAGGATAAAGACTTGTATGGTCTCACAAAAAAATCAGGCTAACTATTGCAGTCAAGTTTAGAGTTAATCTGTGAGCTTCCTTGTAGCCAAAGCAAGAGGGAAATATGACTTACCTCCCTCTAATGAAAGAGCAAGCAACTTTCTTCAAGGTGAAGAAGAGCTTTGGTCTAATAAGAGGATTCATGTGGGTCTTTTCTGGCTTTGTAAATTACAGTCATGTTATTGGCTCAACAGACTGAAAAAATGAAGAGAGCCTAAAATAAAACTGAATGTGAAAGAACAATTCTATTTACCCTAGTAGGAATATTTTTTTGCCCGATTCTGGACAATCCCTGGGGACTAAACTGTGAAATCAAAATACAAGGGCTGCAGATTCCAAGTCTGTCCTGACCGGCCCGGGTGTTAGTAATGTTTATTATCGGGAGAAGCAGGCAATAGGCCTTGCTTTCCAGGCTGCAAGCCGGAGCGCAGATCCTAGCGGAAATGAGCTCTTGTGCTCTGTACCCTCCACACAAGCCACTAGGGCCCCATTAAATGGCACTGATGTTCTCCACCCAATATCTGCTTCAAAGAAAGAGTCTGCGTAGAGACTTGTTAGGGAAAGAAAGAGCTTTGGAGTAGTGGAAACCATGGGCAGTGATGCCCAGGACTCTGTACCCAAGGCAAGGGGTGGGTACACTTGGCTGTGACTTCACGTGGCCTGGGGAAAAGGGAGACAGACAGGCAGAGACAGAGAGAGAGGAGAACAGTTTGAAAAACAGGCCATTGAATTCAGCAAGTATTTCTGGAGCCTAATGTAGTAAAAACTCAGCTGATGGCCACTGTCAAAACCCAGCTTGCTGGGCCGGGGATTTAGCTCAGTGGTGCCGCTGCCTGCCTCGCAAGTGCAAGGTCCCAAGTTCAATCCCCAGTACCAAAAAAAAAAAAAAAAAAGCCCAGCTTGCTTTAACAAAAACATGGACATTATTGGCCCTTGCCATCAGAACGTGCAGGGTAGTCTCATTTTGGCCTGTTTCCCCACAGTGTCCACTCTGTGAGAGGGACTGCAGTGTGATTCATCGTGAATTCCCTGGGTCCAGGCAGGGAGCTCCCAGTCAGATCCGGATGTGGGATCCTTTGTGATCGTGGGAAGGGTGTGGAAACATAAACCAATCAGACGTGAGAGCAAGGGACAAGGAGGACCTGGGCGGGCTCTCGGAGGTGTCAGGGAAGGCCACTTAAAGAGGTGACCTTTGAGCTGGGAGATGACATGGAGCCAGCCGGGGGAGATCTGAGGAGGTGGAACAGCAAGTGATGAGAATGAGCGTGCTGTCAGTGGGGTCCAGGAGAAGGCCAAGGCCACCGAGGTGCATGGTGAACGCGCTGGGACAGGGGAATCTGGAGGGAGGCACTTGGCACCCAGAGCCGGGCATGGGGACGCAAAGCAGGAGAGGCCACGTGACATGGCTTGCATGTTGAAAAGACCTCTCTGGATGCTGGTGGAGAGTGGCAGGGGCAGGGGAGAAGAGGAAGCAGGAGACCAGCAGGGAGGTTCCTGCCCTGGCGTCCAGGTGGAGACAGAGCCAAGAGGACTCGCCTGGGGCAGGGAGCAAGACTCCCAAGCTCAGTGTGACCAGCGTGCGGCAGCCTTTACCCCCGCAGCAAAGCAGGAAGGCATGGGCATGGAGGGGGAGCTGCAAGACCATCCTCCTGCCTCGGGTGGTGTGGTCTGAGAGGTCTGAGCCTCCCATCCTAGTGAAGACCCCACACTAATGGGCGGCATAGGCAGCGAAGACCCCACACGCGTAGCCGGGGTTTGGCCGTCTGGACTGGACATCGGGCTCGAGCTGGGGATCCAAACCCCGGCCTTCCCCACCCCAACCCTGCTGGTTCTCTATGTCCCCCAAGTCCATGTCGGTCACACCTCTTGGAGAAGGATTTCAATACCAGCCGGAGCTACTCAGGGAAGCCAGTCTGGGTTAGGGAATAAAGTCAGATTTGTTCCTCTCTGAGCCGTCTGCAAGCAGGGGGCTCGTTCTGCATCCAGCAGGTCCTCGTGGAGAACGTGCTCTTTGTGAGCCCCGTGTCCAAGTGCTGAGGATTCTGCCACACCCAAGACACAGCAAGACCCATGTCCTTAAGGCAGTGCCCCTGACCACTAGGGAGGCAGCTGTTAACTTCTGCCCTGGTAGCATCCTGCCGGGCAAAGTTCTCTGAAGAGAGACCTAGAGAGGCGAGGAGGGGCTCTCACAGAAGCTGCTGTCCCACTTGGTCCATGCAAGTAAGGACTCTAATGTTTGAGCAGAGACCTAAGGAGGTGAGGGAGGGCCCAGGTGGGTTTCTGGAGGGAAAATGCTCAGACAGAGGAAACAGCAGTGCAAAGGTCCTGGGGCATGGCCAAGGTTGGGGGCTTCCAGGGCAGCTGGAGTGGAGGGAGCAGGAAAGATCATGGTGGGCAATGGAGGCGTGGCCTTTAGGCCACTGCAACGGTTTGAGTCACATTCAAAGGGTGACAAAGAGCCACTGGATGCTGGCAAATTTGGTGTCTGGTGAAGCCCCTATCCTGGCTTGTACACAGCCTTCTTGCTGTGGCAGCACTGAAACCAGTGGCCTGGGGCCTCTCTGTCCACTGCGCTGTCCCGCCTCCGCCATCTGACATGAGAAAGACTCCCAGTGGAAAGCCAAGAGCCTGGACCATCCTACCCGTGATGGGTTTAAATGGAGAAAGACTGGAGGGTGGGAGGAGTAGCTGGGAAGTCCGGCTCTGACAGCAAGAGGAGGAGACAGCGCCAGGGTGAGCGGAAAGCATCTTTGCACTGTGGATGCAAACAAGACACGCAGGTAGTGATCACCAGCCATGCGGAGACCTGGCAGCACTACCACATTGGGGGATGAGCCAGAAGCCACCGGAGCAACCATGTGCAAAGGACAGGGTGACGACGTGGTTGGGCTGCACACGGGCACCGACAGTAAATACACATCATCGCCCCAGCAGCCAAAGGCTCCGCACACTCAGTGTGCCAGCCAGGGGCCGAAAAGCCCCCTGCACCCGAGGCCCAGAGGCAGGCACTGCTTTGTCTCCACATGCTAGAGATGGTAGAGAGCCCCCGTCCTGCCCCAGGCGGCGCACAGGAATATCTCCAAGCGCTCCCCACCGCCCTGCAAGGGAGACGTTCTCCTTACCCCCTTTTCACAGATGAGGAAACCGAGGCCCACAGCGGTCACCGTCCCAGAGTCACACACTAGGAGAGGTAGTGTGAAGATCCGATCCCGGGCCCTGCTGACTTCAAAGCTGGGCGGTGGAGTTTTGACACGTACTGGGAAGTGGGGAAGGAGTGTGGTTTGGCCGAGTGGATGAAGAAAAGGCCCTGCGTGAAAAATGAGAGGAACACAAAGCTCTCAGCAGGTGTCCCTGGGGGATGGCGGTGCCAGGCCATCTGGCGGGCTTAAGGGGCAAAGTCCCAAGATGCCTTCAGAGCTTTTGGACAAACTCGGCACGGGGAGTCAGAGGCTGCTGGAGTCAGTGCGGGCAGGCCTGGTTGCTGAGTGTCTGATTTGCGGTGCTGCAGGAGCCATGGGGAGAACAGTGTCTCACTGTCAGATCTGAGCTGCTCTCCAAGGCGCCCCGCCCAACAGGCCATTGACACAGTGTGGTCCACAGCTCTAAAAGTGCTCTTCAGATGGGCTGAACATTTAGACAGCGTAATCAGGGTGCGGGTTTCCCTCCCAGGAGGTGACCCGCTCTCCGACAGGCCTAAAGGCAGCATTCAGCAAGCTCACTTAAAAACTATTTCCAACTCAAAGGACACGGGTGGCCAGGGAGCTCATCCGGGCCCTAGCAGAGTCATTTTTCTAAAGCAAATGCATCAACCATTTCCATTCTGCTTCTGTGTCTCTAGGAGCCAGTGACGAAAAATAATAAGATTAAACCAGAGCAGGAGAAGCTGGGTAACACCAGGTGTTGCCAGCATAATGAGAATAGGTTGATAAGTAACTGTCACCAACCTTACTGCTCAAAAACTTCCAAAGACAAGAACACTAAAAAACTAAACCAATGACTGAAAAAGTATCAAATTGTTATAGATGCCCCCCAGAAACCCACCATGCCCCCTCGTTTGAGACAGAAGTTCCAGCCAGGCTTCACGGAAAGGGTCATTCAGCACAAACTACAAAGCAAAGAAAAAGGCAGATGCTCTCTACACATCTTGAGACTAGTGGTACCCCCAAACTGAAACTGGGCTTTGAGCATGTGACAAATGGATAAATTGCTGCCGTTCCCAATGAAAGCAGATCCTGTCACCGTGTGTGTGTGTGTGTGTGTGTGTGTGTGTGT